TACATATTACATAAACCGTAGTAATGAGGTAGCAAATTTTGCCGATGTTAATTCCCTTAATATCCATATGAAGCTTTGTAAATAATAGAGTGAGCAAATGAACCTTTAAACAAACCCTCGAACGTGAGTAACTACAGAAATATAAATTTTCTTTTTGTATAGCACAATGGCTCGGTAGCACATGTGCTTGGTGCTGGATTAACGTTCGAGAGTCTCGAGTTGGAAACATACGTCTCATCATCTATTTTTTTGTCTTAATTGTCAACTATGCTTATTGGTTCACCCAGTTAACTTAAGATTCATTAAATATATGATTATATTAGTCTACAAATATTGTATTATATTACATCGTATACATGCAATCAATTGGTACATCAAACAGCGAACGTTTCTTCTTCCCTAGAGCCTCTGCCTGTGACAAACACCTATGGCACGCTGTCTCATTTTTTAATAGCATAAATAATGTTCAGTCGGATAAACAAGGCATTACGGAAAATTAGCAAAAACAAAAAATGCACTTATAAATCTCGGGCATAAAATGATGAGCATATAAAAATGAACCAATTTTTTTCTATAGTAAGATAAAGCAAACATTGAATCTGGTGAGGGATTTTTTTTCATTTAATTTTTATCATTCAAGGCTATGTAAAGACAATATTTTTAATACATCGAATTATCAGAAAATTATGTCGAGGTAGAACACAGTGATAGTTCGAAATATTAAAAATAAAACTATCTTTCTGTAGGCATGAATACAAAAAATTGGCCAAATTAAATGAGGCTACTCAAAAATGTATGAAACTAAAAATTTCTAAGCAGATATACTATTTGTCTCATCTCATTTTTTACTGCTTTTCTATTCGGATAAATAGTATTAAACTATTAAAAAGTGAAACAGCCTGCCATACGTACGAGTGTTATTAAATTTTTTTTTAATCGGACCACGCTGCGACCACGGCACATTAAAACAAAAAATGAAATGAAGAAATGTATCTATGTTGCAAACGCAAAAGCGTTAAGAGAACGAAACGAGATTTTTTCGATTATAATACAATATTTGTACACTAATATAATCATATATTTAATGAATCTTAAGTTAACTGGGTGAACCAATAAGCATAGTTGACAATTAAGACAAAAAAATAGATGATGAGACGTATGTTTCCAACTCGAGACTCTCGAACGTTAATCCAGCACCAAGCACATGTGCTACCGAGCCATTGTGCTATACAAAAAGAAAATTTATATTTCTGTAGTTACTCACGTTCGAGGGTTTGTTTAAAGGTTCATTTGCTCACTCTATTATTTACAAAGCTTCATATGGATATTAAGGGAATTAACATCGGCAAAATTTGCTACCTCATTACTACGGTTTATGTAATATGTAGTATGTAATAAGCCCTTAATATGGCGTCCCTTCCGGGTGTTGGCCGGACTCTTACTAGAGGGACTCTAGCCAAAACACAGCTTCAGATTATCACGCGTAGTATTACTATATATACTCGACCAATCAAAAACGTGGAACTGCTTCGAGGGCCCTCCGCTAAGGTGGCGCGCCGAAACCGGAGTAAAATTGAGGCCACCAAAAACAGGCCCATTGGCAATCTCCCTACTCATCTCTGCATTGGCAATCTTCTTTCTCATCCCTGCCAGTACTATATGTCGATGGTAAAGGCCTTCACACACAAAACGACGTAACGATGTAAGACGTAAGACGTAAGACGTAACCGTAAGCCGTAATCAGTAAGCACCATCGCATACCACACGCGTAAGGAGTAAGCTACGGCCAATCACACTCAAGAAAGAATTGCGCATTTTTATGAACGTGTCGTCATTGTACATACTATAAATTTATTTTTGTACCTATTTTCTGTTGTAAAAAGTAACTACACGATAACAATTATGTACTCATAATTAAGGATTTTATATTTTATAAATTGTAACTGTATTGAGATGCATGATATGCAGATTAAATTATACTTTTACAGGAAAATCGTTTTCATACTTAGTTTCTAACTTTAAAATTGCACGTATCGCTTTTGTTTTATAATGCGTATTTTGGATATATTTACGTTTTTTCAATATCAAAGCACATCAAAGCCACTCGTCTCACGTATAAACAATGTTCTTTTAAGGGGCTATCTACAATAAGACGTTGTCGTAAGCACTAGGCGGAAGCGTTAGTCGTTGTCGTAAGCACTACGGCTTACGTTTTACGGAGAAAAGTGGAGGGGACAGTACTAGATTTTGATTGGTTGGTTTCCTTACGCTTACGGCTTATGTCGTTACGTAATTTTGTGTGTGAAGGCCTTAAGAACGTGGTTTCCGCTCTTTATCAACGGAACCCAGCAGCAAGGAACATCGAGTGGAATTTTCAAGTATCCCGCGGAATTAGGCGCTCGGAGCGTTACATAAATTCCTGATTGATGCCATCTATGTAAAGAAGAAGAAGAAGAGGAAGAAGAACTGAGTTCGTCACAGCACAGGACTCACGCGCCAGCCCACCTCTCGCGTAGTGTATTGTTATATGTCTGATACATCTCGTTGGAGCAAGCAGCCATAAGGAAAGGAAGGAAGGGTATTGTTATATGTCTACTATGAAATATCTTCATCGTCCTGTTCTAAATAGTTCAGTAAAAGCGCAAGTCCAGTCAAGTAAATGTAATTCAAATAAGATTGGATTAGTACGGCTGTAGACGGCAAGTAGTAGTTAATAGCAATTTTGAATTTCCAATCTGAAAGATCCTAAATTGTGTGCAATTGTGCACTATCTTCATCGAAAGGGAGTGTGTGTGTCTTTAGTATAAGTTTTATAATTCCTGAAATAACACTTGTAATGCATGCAAATGTATAGTATGCGTGTATTGCGTTTGAATAATAATTTATTATTACATTCATATAAATTATGATATTCCACTTTGATGTTACGTACTCTCCAATACCCTTAATAGGTTTGTTCTCATTACCTACACTTTCCGCACTTTTCAGAAAGTACAGAAAGTTAAGGTAACGAGAACAGATCGAATGGTAATAAAATAGTGTACACTAAAGTGTGTCAATAGGTTTCTTCTCGTTGCCTAAACTTTTTGCACTTTTCAAAAAGTGCAATTTTTGTATTGGATGATATTTTGAAGTAACCAATGAGAATTTGCACTTTTTGAAAAGTACAGAAAGTGTAGTTAATAAGAACAGATTTATTGAGTTGTCAATTGTGATGTTTTATTTTAGATAACGATGGTTCATGACAAAAAACCTGGAAGGCGAAGCAGATCTCGGGAGAGAGATCGTGACCGAGAACGAGATCGTGAGCGTAGAGATCGGAGACGCTCTAGAAGTAGATCAAAGGATCGTAAGAAAGATAGAAAACGTTCCCGATCAAGAGAACGTTCTCGTGAAAGGGACAGGTCACGTGATTACGATCCAGATAGATCAAAAGAGAGGAGGGATACCAAGGATAAATTAAAAGATGAAAAAAAACCGAAATCAAATCCTATATTTGTGATAGATGATGAAAGCAAAAAAGAATCAAAAGTTGAATCAAAAAAAGAGGAACAGGAATATAGGGAGAATTTGAAAAATTCGAAAAAAGAGCCATTGAGTTTGGAAGAATTATTAGCTAAAAAAAAAGCTGAAGAAGAAGCAAGAGCAAAGCCAAAATTCCTAACTAAAGAAGAACGTATTGCCTTAGCGTTGCAAAAACGACAACAGATAGTAGATAATATCAGGAAGCAGCAGGAACAAGACCGAAAATTCAATATTCAAGTTGAAGGTTCTACCTTTCCTAAGGAACCACGAGAATGGGATGAAAGAGACAGGTTTTGTATTGATATAGTTATTGGTATAGTTAAATAATATATTATTCGTAATTATAGTTTCTTTAATATTTTTTCAATTTATAGACGTCGAGAAGGACAGCGACAAAGAGAAGAAGAAAAAGACAAAGATAAAGAAAAGGAAGTTGAAGCAATTAAGGAGCGCTACTTAGGTCTAATTAAAAAGAAGCGCAGAGTGAGGAGATTAAACGACAGAAAATTTGTTTTTGACTGGGACACCTCAGAAGATACTTCTGTGGACTACAATAGTATCTACAAAGAAAGACATCAGGTTCAATTTTTTGGAAGAGGAAACCTAGCTGGTATAGATATTAAAGCACAAAAACGAGATCAAAGTAAATTTTATGGAGAACTCTTAGAAAAAAGAAGAACGGAGGCTGAAAAGGAACAGGAAAAGTAATATCCTTTATTTAGCGATATGGAAGTTTCAGATTATTCAGTGTTTTTTTTCTTTTGTTTAAATAGAATGCGTTTGAAGAAAGTCAAGCGGAAAGAGGAAAAACAGAAGTGGGATGATCGTCACTGGTCGGAGAAAGGATTGGGTGAAATGACAGAACGAGATTGGCGTATTTTTAGAGAAGATTATAATATAACTATAAAGGGTGGTCGCATTCCAGATCCTATTAGATCTTGGAAGGAGTCCGGGTTTCCCAAGGAAATTTTAGATATTATTGATAAAGTTGGGTATAAAGATCTGACCCCTATACAGAGACAAGCAATTCCTATTGGTTTACAAAATCGTGATATTATCGGTGTAGCAGAAACTGGTTCAGGCAAAACATTAGCCTTCTTAATTCCGCTTCTATTGTGGATTACCAGTTTACCAAAAATCGAACGTTTAGAAGAAGCCGACCAGGGTCCTTACAGTATAATACTAGCACCAACACGGTAAGAACAGTAAATTAAAACTAACGAACTTTTCTCATAAGTATCATGAATGTTTCAGTGAGTTGGCTCAACAAATTGAGGAGGAAACCAATAAATTTGGCCAACCTCTGGGTATCAGAACCGTTGTTGTGGTTGGTGGTCTTTCTAGAGAAGAACAAGGATTTAGGTTGAGAATGGGTTGCGAAGTGAGCATAACTTGCAGAGTCTTGGTAGACTTGTAATATAGTCTCTATTAAATCTTCACATAGAATGTAAAATATGTTCTTTTTATAGATTGTAATAGCTACACCTGGAAGATTAATAGATGTCCTAGAAAATAGATATTTGGTACTTAATCAGTGTACGTATATTGTCCTCGACGAAGCCGACAGAATGATAGATATGGGATTTGAGCCTGATGTACAAAAGATTCTAGAATATATGCCAGTTACAAATCTAAAGCCTGACAATGAAGATGCTGAAAATGAAGAGAAGCTCCTTGCTAATTACAATACAAAAAAAAAATACCGACAGGTACGATATAAATTAATTTTAGAATTTCGAAAAAAAAACAGGTTAAAAATAAATTATTGTACTTGTGTATTCAATGAATCTGATATTGACAAAAAAAATTGGTATATTATAAAACTTTTACTTATTTTTTTTTTCTAATCTTATTTTCCTTGGTTACAGACAGTAATGTTCACAGCAACTATGCCTCCCGCAGTTGAACGACTCGCCAGAACCTATTTGAGAAGACCTGCTGTAGTGTACATTGGTTCTGTTGGTAAACCAACAGAACGTACAGAACAAATCGTACATATTATGGGAGAAGCGGATAAGCGACGTAAACTTATGGAAATTCTTAGTAGAGGAGTGGAACCACCTGTTATTATTTTCGTTAATCAAAAGAAGGGCGCTGACGTACTTGCTAGAGGATTAGAGAAATTGGGAGTCAGTACCACCTCTTATTTTGGATACTTGGCTTTTACCAAACTTGGTATTTATAATTTAACGTTTTATTTTTCACAGTACAATGCTTGCACTCTTCATGGTGGTAAAGGCCAAGAACAAAGAGAGTACGCTTTAGCATCATTAAAGAGTGGCTCTAAGGATATTCTTGTTGCAACTGATGTGGCGGGACGTGGTATCGATATCAAGGATGTCTCTATGGTTATCAATTACGATATGGCTAAGACTATTGAAGGTAATACAATCATTCCATAATATTAATGTATAAAGCATTACATTTACTTATGAATAACTAAATTATGATCTGGCTGCTATTCTCTTGTAGATTACACTCATCGTATTGGTCGAACTGGACGCGCCGGCAAAGCTGGTCTTGCTATTTCTTTCTGTACGAAGGACGATAGCCATCTATTCTATGATTTAAAGCAAACGATACTTTCTAGTCCAATTTCTACATGTCCTCCAGAGTTACTCAATCATCCAGATGCACAGCATAAACCAGGAACTGTCGTTACAAAGAAACGTCGTGAAGAGAAAATATTCGCTTAGATTAAAAAACAATTATTTTTAAAGACATTACTGTTTATTTCATGAAGAAATTTATTAAAAATGTTTGAACTTATTAATAACTTTGCTAATTAATACAAATAATACATTTTTCATAAATTTTATAACGCACGCAATTGTATTTGCACCTAACTGCAATTGGCTATGGACGCTCTGAATCATAGGGTATATTCAGCAGAAACACCGCTGAGGGAGCAAGGGGTTGACCACGGTCTTACATACAGGCCTTGCAACTCGCCCAATTTTAAGCGATGGGGGTAGTCGTTTTAAAGAAGCAGGGTGCATTTTAACTTTTAGTCACAAGCGCCGCTGTAATCAAATGACCCCTAAAGTCCCTCAAGTCAGATTCGGGCCCACGGTCTTATATACAGGTCAAGCAACGAGACCAATTTTTAGTGGTGGGGGTAGTCCATCTTACCAGAGCTGAGTAGGGAGATTGCCAATGGGCCGATATCATCGACATATAGTACTGGACTGCTCCTTCCTTACTTCCTTTCCTTATGGCTGTATCCCCAATGGGGGACATGTGCCAGTAACTGGTCCTAATAATCAAGGTTGGAAGTTCGACAATAGATGGCGATGTACCTTGCGAGACGGGCCTTATTCTACTCAGCGTGAGGGGACCTACAAAGTTGCACTTGCAAAAAACTGCACTTATTAATATCGGGTTAAAAAAATTAAAAGTGTAAAAAACCCACACAATTATTGTATACATATGTACTTATGGTGAGATGAGACAAATAGTGTATCTGCTTAGAAACTGTTAGTTTCATACATTTTTGAGTAGCCTGATTCAATTCAGTAAATTTTTTTTTATTCAAGCCTACGGAAAGATTGTATTTTTAATATCTCGAATTATCAGTATGTTCTGATGTAAAAAATAACTCAGAATTAAAATTATACCTCGACATAAATTTCTGATAATTCGATGTATTAAAAATGTTACCTTTACATAGCCTTGAATGGTAAAAATTAAATGAAAAAAAATCCCTAACCAGATACCAGAACCAATTGGTTCATTTTTGTATGCTCATCATTATTTTTATGCCCGAGATTTATAAGTGCATTTTTGTTTTTGGTAATTTTCCGTAATGCCTTCTTTATCCGTCTAAATCTTATTTATGCTATTAAAACATGAAACAGCGTAACATAGGTGTTTGTCACAGGTAGGCTCTCGGGAAGAAGAAACGTTCGCTGTTTGATGTACCAATTTATTGCATGTATACGATGTAATATAATATAATATTTGTAGACTAATATAATCATATATTTAATGAATCTTAAGTTAATTAGGTGAACCAATAAGCATAGTTGATAATTAAGAAAAAAAATAAAAGTGTTGAGACGTGAGTTCCGAACTCGAGACTCTCGGACGTTAATCCAGCATTAAGCACGTGTGCCATCGAGTCATTGTGGTATATCATTTAGCAAACTTATATTTCTGTAGTTACCCACGTTCGAGGGTTTGTTTAAAGTTTTATTTGCTCACTCTATTATTTACAAAGCTTCATATGGATATTAAAGGAATTAACATCGGCAAAATTTACTACCTCATTACTACGGTTTATGTAATATGAGTAGATACACACCACTCCTGGCCGTGACAACAAACCCCCACCACTGTTCCGATGAGTCATAGAGTGCATCGCGCTGGGTCCCCCCGCGCTCCACTATGGCGCAACCCCCTCGTCTATGTGACCAGCTGTCCCCTCCCCCTGCGACACTGTGGGGGATCCACAACCACGCGGCCCTGGTCCTAAGGCCCGAAACCACTCAGTAGCAGCGTTGCATGTCCCCCAGGGGCCGTATCACGGTCGGTAATTATGTAGTGACCGCCGGTCGGTAATTTTTAATTATCCTAAGGAGGTAAGCGTCCCATGGTGAAGTAGAACACAGTTTTTTTTTTAAGAAACGCTATATATATATATTATAAGGCTGTCTGGTGTGATACATTTTCGATGATTAGCCTGAGCCCTGTATAGAGGAATAGGCTTAATGTTTTCTTTCCCACCACCCGCTAGCATTATTGACAAGATATGGGGAGATGGAGGTGAGGGAAACAAAAATAGAAAAAATAGGTATTTTTAAATATATATCGTATATTTTAAGAAAAAACATTACAAATTAAAATTTAATGAAACAGTTAACACGTTGAACGCCACGTCACCCATGACTGGGTGACGGCTATGTTTCCGCAGGGGCCCCGTCACCCGTAAACGGCTGACACTATTTTTCGCGTAATTAAAACAACATTTTGGGGGTAATTTATAGTAATATTATTTGTAAGACAATTATCATGAGTACATGAGATAAAATGATCATTTATAAAATATACTTTTGCTAACAAATGAGAAATATACTGAATTCAAATGTGTTCCCGTGACAGTTTCACTTGGATTGAGGAACGTAATAAATATAAATTTGTTTTTGTAACATTACAAAAGATTTTATTAGTTACGATGGTATTCGTTAAAATATTATAGACACATTTGAGATGACTTTGGACACTCAGAACAGTACGTTACAGTCTTTTGTACATTTTTCCTTGCTTCCTGGCGTTCAAGAGTACGCCGCCGTTTTGCGTAGCATTGAACACACATCCTTCTTACAGATCTGCCTTGAAGATTTTTTTCGAATTTGTAGGAGGTGAGATGCCTTTTCTATTATTTCAAGCTCTGTCCGGTTTACGTAGCCCGCAACACGTATTCTTTTTGTAGATGTACCTTGCGGATTTCTTCGAATTATTGTATGCTTCTTAGTATTGTATCATTGTATTCATTGTATTGTATGATTCACGTTGGGCGTTCAATGGGTGGGCCCCGAGAGAAACTCCACCGATTCATACTGGGCGTTCAACGTGTTAAAAAATAAAAAAAGTAAAAAAAATAAAAAAAGGGCCCTGAAAAAAAAAGATAATAACCATGTATGATATATATAGTATAAAATAGAATAGTTTAATACACACCAATTTGAAATCTGCTGACAGGAGTTACTCCTCGCTGGAGTCGGTGTCCGAGTCCCTGCAAAAAAAAAAGATGATTATATATATCATCTGTGACGTCAATTTTTAACGCCACAAAAGTCTCGATGTAGTTATTGGGCCCCCACTAGACTTACCGCGAGGGAGCTAGCCCCGACCGGTAAGATGACGAACCCTCAAGCGTTTTTCTTGCGACGACAGTAGTCTTGGCCGGTGGTTTCGCTTCAATTAGAAAGAAGAAGATCGTATCGTTGTATCCAGCCTTCGTATCGTTCACGGTAAGCGTCTCGACGCCCTAAAGGACGAAATCTTGAGTACTCTGTGCGTAGTGGG